GTGTTGTAGGGGGTCGACTGTATTATAGTATCTCAGTGACTCGTAGATATGATTTTAAGGATTAAATACATAGTTAGATCCATCTATATGTGTATAAGTAGTATTTAGATAACTCTTCGAGGTAATATAAACTGTATTTTATTCATTAAAACCCCCCTTTCTTAATTAATGATAGTCGTATTTGTTACTGTAGCAGTACGTTATTTATCCTCAATTTTTTTTCTTCAAAATTTTTTATGCTATTAATCTTTAAATTATATTTATTATAAGAACGAAAAGTCGAAACTATTTAAGTATGACAATACCCGGAAGTAATAAATGTGCCAATATATTTCTCATCTTGTGCATTCCAAGACATTTTGGAACCAAACTATGACAGCTCATATATATAAATATATATTTTTATGTCAGATGTTTTCTTTGTTTTTGACAATTCTACCTAAAAATAAAGTGCATGTTTCATGCATTGTTAAGTCATGCTACACTAACTCTATGTAGGGACAATGACCCGAAAGTCGTCGTCCCTCTTAAAAGATATAGGAAGAAACTATGTGAACTAGCACAAATAAAAATCGAAAAAAAATATATATATATATTTCAGTGTGAAAAACTGCTATTTTTTTTAGTAAATTTAAGGTTATAATATAGTAATTTTACACTATTTTTATACGAAAAAGTACAGTAAATTGTTATGAAGTCGTGTTGTTCGGTACCTTTAATTGAACGTCTACAGTACTAAAAGTATTGATATTACCTTAATATTTTTAGGGGTTTTAAAGTTATTAAAGTTAGTTTTATTCACCCATAAATTTTCATTAAAATCGAATGAAAAGATTTTTTATTTATGAAGATAATTTATGTAAATCGGACTATAACGCGCAGTTATAAATGAATTTTAAAGAAATCGATTTATAAATTAAATATTCGTAAATTTCTTAATTTTCTATGCTATTTTGATAATAAAACAAGCATTTTTAAAGCAATTTTTAAGGTAGAAGATTTAATTATAATCGAGTTAATTATTATTATTATTATATGATTGAAATGAAATTGGGATGAGATAGTGTATGTATGGATTAAGTGCAGCGGATGTTCGACCACTGATGACGTTCAGGATGTGAAAAGAACGGAAGGTATGTCTCCTTCCTCCACTGGATGCTATTGTTTTACATGGCAATGTCGCGGACATTGTTAGCTGAGTCACTGGTTAGTGGAGAAACGACTTTCACTAAAGAGAGCAACTCGAAGAGGGAGGAAATGAACGGCTGGCTTCTGAGCGTTTCCTGTATGTGCAGCCGAGACGCCAACCGTACATCAACGTCAAACGGTGATGGAGCTGCTAGTGCTTCGGTCGAATTGGCCATTTTCGTCAGTCCTCTATAGACCCGTCCCATTGCTACCCCCCCCACGACAAAGAAATTGCAGAGGAAAGGTTTTCGCCTTCATTCAAAGCTCCTGGCCTCTACACAACTCAACCTCCCCAAAAACCCTCCCTCACTTGATCGACACACTCGCTACTGGTCGCTTGTTCCACTGGTCCTTTAGGTGACGCGATTTCGACATTAGGACCCACTAGAAATGCTTTTATCTGATAAATTCGCTTTGAATGTTGTATTGTGATAAACTGCCGATTTTCCTAGACAGAAAGGTGTTTTTCTATACGCTTTTTTTTATTTTATATATATATATATATACACGCAGAGACTTGGAATTTTTACTTTGAAGTTTTATAAACTTTTTGCTATATTTTATCTTATTTTTTCTTAAGAAAGTGAAGTGTAATGTGTCACAGTTAACCGTGACTTTATGTATATAAATATTAAAAGCGTGTCCTGTAGAAACGAAAGAAAGATAATTCTAACAATGGCGATCACCCCACTTCACTTAATTAACTCATCCCTGTGGGGATGATCTAACTCCTCTTGTTTATCTCCCGAATGGAATCCTATCTTTCTGTTTACTCGTGTTATTTCTCATTTATTATCGTCCTGTTTCTCTTAACGCCAAACACTTCTTCTTCTTCTTCTTCTTCTTCTTAATTACTTCCTACCGCACGATTCTGCACCCGAAAACATAAATTTTTTATCGATGTAACACACAAAAATACTTGATTTTTTATGTATTCATCAGCTAAATATTCATACGTGATCGATTGTTAATGAGAAAACTTTACTTACGATTCGCGTAGAGATCATCTTAAATAACGTTCGAGTCACAAAGTCGCGGTTTTTCTATTATCCTTTATGACTTAATATAGTTATTTACGTGTAAATTGTTTCGATAACTTGAAAATTCTCTATAATATATTGTCAAAATTGTGTTGTTTTTACAACAAAAAAACAAGGCTTGTAAAATACCGATACCAAGATCACACCTTCATAAGTTCGTTTATAATTAAATTATCCTTAAGGATAGAATCTTTAAGGATAATTTTACATAATCGTACACATCTTTTACGTGTTAGACACGTCCAACATTCTTAAAAATTGATCCTGAAGAGGAATCACATGTTACTTACTACATCATAGCTTTGTAACAGAACAAGCTTATTTACACCCTTTTAAATGTAAATTTTTGTTTCATTACTCCTCACGAAAGATAACCCTTTACACAATTGTTCGTAACTTTAAATATTACGTCTATCTTTCGACCCGTTACGTCTCTCCCGTAACGAGAGATAGTTACACATCTCTAATCCTCGTAACTGGATAAATAATAACAGGAGTCATCATTGATTTGGTCAACATTACTTTTATTGTTAACGTCTTTTGAGCGGCTAACAGAAAACGCCAAGAAGAAAAGATAAATGACCTATATCCATTCAGAAATGTTATCGGTAGAAGTCACCAGAAAACTAATTAAATTCTTAATTTTTAATTACTAAATTTTAATAATAATAATAATAATAATAATAATATTCTCTTTATTAATTTCCAAAATAAAAAAAAAAAGAAAATGATCACGGATTTATCACTCCGCAGCATCCTTCATCCGAAACATTTCTGAAGGTTATCTTATGATACAGATTCCAGATATACATACTATCAACTGTTCTTTTTTTAATAATGAGTTTTACAATGAATCGAGATGAAATTTAACAAGGAAAAAATAGTCTAAAAAAAGAAAAAAAAACACTATTTCAGTTGGTCATGTGATCCTGAAAAAAAATACCCCAGAAAAATTACAAATTCGGGACGAATCTTCTGGCCAGGAACCACATAAGTTCGTTGATCATCATCATCTGGAGTTTTCAGAGCGATTTTATCATTAAAAAAAACGTCTCTAAATTAATTTTTTTGATACTAAAATTCACTTTGGAGAGAGAGAAAGAGAGAAAAAAAAACGAATTTGTTCTCTAAAATCGTGCAAAAAATCGTCTACAAAACTGGTAAAGAAGTAAGCAAAATTAAATAATAATATAATAATAATAATAATAAAAGTTCCAGTTTTGTTTATCGTTTTTTTTAATATATTTATATATATATAT